ACCCCACCGTGGACGGCAGGCAGGGCCCAGGCTGAGCTTACTTCTGGCCAGGGTGGACTTGCTGTCTATGCGGGCCGTGGCCAGGCCAGCCCAAGGCTGCTCCTGCAGCGCCAAGGCCCAGGCCAGCAACGCCAGGAGGACGAGGAGCCTCCAGAGTGGCCTCATCTTGGGTTCTAGGACCTGCAGGTGTCAAGTAGGGTCAGATGGGGCCCGGGAAGATGGCTGTGCGGGTGGCCACGTGGATGGATGGGCACATGGCTTTCTGTAGGACGATGGCCCCAGAGCTGGCCCCCAGCATGCTGTGGGGAGGTGGAGAGTGGACTCGACAGCGGCGGGCGGCTCGCTCACATGGCAAGCGGGTGGAACGCTGGGGAGGCCGGGAGCCCCAGGGGGCTTGGTTGCCTGGAGACGCCCACCAGGGCCCACTGTTGGGTCATCTCTCCCAGACCCTGACCCAGGAGGCAGGTTGGTGACCCTTCAGTGGATGAGTGAGTGAGTGGGTGGGAGCGGCCCACTCCAGGCTGTCCAGTTTGAACCAGGTTTTTCCTAAGGGCAAGAAAAACCAACCTCTGTCCCCGCGGCCCTGTTGGTTTACCAGGACAAAGAGCTAATGAATGTTTCTGAGCGCCCCAGGGCTGAGCAGAGGAGGAAACACGGCCAGTCTCGGAATCCTTACCAAAGGATAGGTTTATCCATGGGCGATGTCCCCAGCGTCTCCCATGCTGGACACGTGGTAGTCCTGATGAATGCTTGTTACGGGGTACAGATGACTGGATGGACGGGTGGATGGTGGACCTCGCCTTCCCATATAAGATTTATAGGAGGACAGAGAAGCTCAAAGCTGAAGCATCAGGTTAACCACAGAGCCCTGGGGTGGGGAGGGCCATCAGAGAGAATTCAGTTCAAATCCCATGTCCTATCTCAGGGAATGCCAGTCTAAACTGGGCACGGTGGCCCTGCCCTGTCATCCCAGCAGCTTGGGAGGCTGAGGCAGGAGGATCGCGAGTTCAAAGCCAGCCTCAACAACATCGAGGCGCTAAGCAACTCAGTGAGACCCTGTCTCTAAATAAGATACAAAATAGCGCAAGGATGTGGCTCAGTGGTCGGGTGCCCCTGGGTTCAATCTCAGGCATGCCCCCCCCTCCAAAATAAGAAATGGCAGCCCACCCAGTGTCCAGCTCCAGCCCTTAGAGGTTGCTCCTGGGTCCTCTCTTCTCAGCTTGTACAACCCACACGTCAGGAGACCCTGTCCACTCTTCCAGAACCTGATCACGTCTGACCGCTTCTTAGCCATCACTGTCTTCATTTGAATAACTGCAATGGGACCGTTTCCCCAGTAGCCGTCCCCAGTCCCCCGCAGCCCCTTCCCTGTGCAGCACCCCAGCCATCATGTGAGCACACAGCTGGGACCCTGCCCCTCCTCTGTCCCCGGCTTCCTGTTACACACTGAGCAGACTCCTCTGTGCGTGGCCTTCCCTGGCAGGACCCCTGTGCCCCCCCCCTCCTGTCATCTGCTCACTCCACAGCAGGCCTGGGGCCTGGGCCCCACAATCCCATGACGGAGGTGCTGAGACAGAGGCCTTTGTCACTGACCCTCTGCTTTCCACCCAACCCTGGGACATTGTGGGGGATATGGAGGGTCCCACTCAGGTAGCAGATGACAATGTCTCCTTTGAAAGTTCCCCAGAGGTCTTGGCTGCGTTCCTGGGCAGTGAGCTCTGTGTCGTAAGAGATGCGCTGGGAACCGCAGCTCGGGGTGTCGGCTTTCCGCTCTGCGAGGCCCCCCTTTCTCGAAGTTCACGCTCCGCTTGGGGATGTTTGTAGAATATCAGTTACTTTAAGTGTCCTTTCCTAACCTTCCTGGTCTTGTGCAACTGGTAAGAATTTTGTTATTTTTTTGTCAAGAAAATAGGAACAGAGTGGGCGGGCACCAGAGTGACAAATCTGTTGTCCCTGACCCTTAGGATACCTTGGCCCAGGGCTGGCTGTGCTTCTTGGAGCCACAGAGTCTCATGACCCAGTGATCTGGAGGGTGGGGACTCTTGGCGTTTGGTGCATGATAAGGAGGACAGAGTTGGGGGACAAAAGGGTCCCGCTCAGGAGGTGAGCCCTGGATTTGGAGCCAGGTCCATGGAGAGTCATGTGCTTGAGACTCTTGGGTCAGGTATTGAGTATGGCATTAAAAACCTTCTTAAATACGTAATTCAGCTTCCATCTCCGCCCCTTGGCAGACTTGGGGTCCAAGGATAACAGGATAACAGGATGGCCCTGCAGGCCTCGGGGGTGGGCGGGGCCAAAGAGGGATGTGCCTGCCAGTCACATTCTTAAGACTGCCCTTGTCTTTGTCCCCTCTTCTCTGAAACTCAGCTTCCTCATCCAGAACCCAAGGTGGCTGGTGAAGGGTGCCCGGGACAGAGGAACTGCAAAATGTATACAGGAGCACCTCTTGCCGGGTACAGTGGCACACAGCTGTAATCCTGGCAGTCTGGGAGGCTAAGGCAGGAGGATCGCCAGTCCAAAGCCAGCCTCAGCAATTTAGCGAGGCCCTAAGCAACTCAGCGAGACCCTGGGTCTAAAAAAAATATCAAAAAAGGGCTGAGTATGTGGCTCAGTGGTTAAGCACCTCTGGGTTCAATCTTTAGCACCCTAAAAAAGTAGCAATAACAATAAATAAATAAATAAAAATTTAAAAAAATAAAGGAGTCACCTCTGTGAAGACTGTCACTGTGAGAGCATGACTGGCGAGCGGCCCGGGCAGGAGGACATTCCAATGCACAGATGGCATGGGCAGTGGAGGTGCCATGGTCCGGGGTGGTGGGCCCCGCTGTCATTCATTCGCTCACCAGGAAGAGGCACTGAGGCCATCCAGCACTAAATGCCTGGCGCTGCGGATGCTGGGGTTATGGGGAGAGGCCAGGCAGGGTCTCTGTCCTCCCGGGGCTCACAAACCCACGTGGTCTTCAACATGCCCATGACAGGCTGTGACTGTGAAGGGTGGCCAGGCTGATTCAAGGGAAAGACGGCGTGTTGACAAATGACGCCGCGGCCACCGCTCCCGGGGAGTGGGGACGCTTGACCCTTTCTTTTTAAAAAAATTTTTTTTAGACTTTGGTGGACACTTATCTTGTCCATTTATTTATATGCGGTGCTGGTTCCATTCTCAGCCCCGCTTGGCCCTTTCTGAGCTGCTGGAGAATCAGCTCTTCTCCCTGGGGCTCATTCCCTGGGCTAAGCCTGCTCTTTGCAGGATCTCACTTCATCCCATGCCACACAGTGAGGGGACAGGGACAGCTCCCTAAGCTCGCAGCCAGGCTCAGGTCCACTGGCATCTCGGCAGCCTCTCTTGCCCTCCCAGAACCCTCCAGGTTGTCATTTCCTGTGGACACGGGAGCTCGGGACACTAGCAGACCCCGCGCATGAGCACATTGTTCCTAGTCTTCATCTCAGGCCCTGCAAGCCTGCTCTGTCCAGATGCACTTCCGCTTGTAGTCCACGTGGGGTCTACGAGGGTCCCCAGGACTCCCTGGGACAGCCTGGCAGGTTCCAGGGCTCCCGAGTCATCCACCCGGCAGAGCCGCCAGCTCCCTCCACGACCACACGGGGGCAGCAGCAGCGCGGGAGCTGGAGCGCTGGCTTAGCCTCTCAGGGAGGACTGGGAGGCCAAGTCATTAACAATGACCAGCCATTCAGAGCCTCACCCGCCTTCAGCGTCAGCCAGGAGGAGAGAGGAAGTGTCCGTGTCCGCCAGTCATCCTGAAGATGGCACCGACCTGAGCGATTATGAATTTCTTCCTTCAAACAACTTGGCTTCTCCTCCGCAGCCCATTTCCTTTCTCCAAGGGACCGAGTTTTCTTTCTCTCCTTGTCCCTCTTCTTTTGTTAATTTTCTTTGGCAAGTGTCACTCAAAATTGTTCATCCTGCTTCACCTGCTCCTAAATTCTCATGGCAGCTAAGTTCCTCCATTTGGATCTGCCTCTGGGAATCAGGAGGCTATTCTTGGGGGAGGATTGTGTGGCTCTGGGAGTGACATTCCCCCAACCAGGGGGGGGACATTCATTGCCCAGGGAGTCAACAGTCTTACTGAGCAAAGCCGGCAAAACCTCCCGCCTTTGCCAGCCGAGGGGCTGTGCCAGGCAAAGGAATTGTAAGATGATTTCAACGGAGGCCGAGTGATGAGTACCAAGTATGGCAGAGGAACTAAATGAGAAATGACATGGGGCCTGGAGGGTGGGAGCAGGGCCCCCCAGATGGGCTGGCCTGGATCCCCTCTCAAAGCTGAGGCTTGGAGGTCTGTAAGAGCCACAGGAGGCTGGGGCTGTGGATGTCCCAGGTGGTGTCTAACCTGAGGCTGGAATGTTGTGGGAAGGACCCCAAAGTCAGTGAACCCAGAGCAAGAGAGAAGGGGGAAGAACAGCAGGGCAGGGGCTCAGGTCTGCACATGGGGACAGATCCGATGTGTCCTCGCAGGCCACCATGAGGACCTGAGTGTTATTCAAGGACTGACACGGGTTTGAATTGTGATTCTGCTGATTCTTACTGATGTGAGGCTTGGGCACATCCCTCTACTCTCTAACCCTCAGTTTTCTTTTCTAATATCTCAAATGGAAGCCCAGAGTGACTTGAGGATTCAAGATCTTAGCTTTGTTTGAATTCTCCCAGATATTCCTGTTCCAAGTCTCAGAACCCATATCCTCCCCCATCAATGCCTTAACTTTTATTTTATTTATATTTGATACCAGGGATTGAACCCGGGGGTACTTAACCACTGAACTACACCCCCACCTCTTTTTAGTTTTTATTTTGAGCCAGGGTCTCACTTTGCTGCTTAGGGCCTCGCTAAATTGTTGAGGCTGGCTTTGAACTCGAAATCCTCCTGCCTCAGCCTCCCAAGCTGCTGGGATGACAGGCATGCGCTGCTATGCCTACCAATGCCTTAACTTTTTAAGAGCAACTTGGTGAGGCTTTGGGTGTAAGTTACAATGTGATTATGTAACCCTCATAATTACAACTCAGTTCTGATTTTCCAGGAGATCAGCCTTGTAACTGCAAGAAAGAGATGCCTCTTTGATTAACACTAGAGAAGTACTCTGGTTATTTTGGTGCCACTCAGACTCACCCCTTGCTTCTGTAAGAACTTCCAGTTCACCCAGAAGCAGCCACCCTAGTCCTTGTGGACACCAGGAGTGCCACAAGGTGATGTGCGCCCGCCACCAGGTTTCCCAAATCAATGGCTGTGCGGTGTTCAGGGGTACGGGAAGTTCAGAGGAATGAAGAAGATAAATGGTTTGCAGAATCCCAGACCCAGCACCGCAGCAGAGAGAGAGGGTTTGGGAACCAAGAGACAAAAGCTTCATAACCAGTCTAAAAGGGTAAGTGGCGTGAGTGGTGTGACGTAATGAAGTGCATAGGTGAGTGCCAGGTGTGATGGCGAACGGTGAGGGGCGCAGCCGCAGGTGGAGGAGATTGGAGCCGGCGTCAAGCTGCATCTAAACGGAGGCGCATGTGCACTGAAGAGCAGCTCCTTGGCCCCGGGTGTCAGCAGGTGTGTCTGCCCCAGAGCAAGGTGCTTTAAGGAGTTTGGGAGAAGAAACCAGGTCACATAAACTTGAGCAGCCTACGAGGGAGAGGACATAGAGACTCTGAGTGACCTTTGGAGAAGACTAGTGGGGTTCAGGAGCGAGATAAGCTTTCTCCCACAAAGCATCACTTAGTGGATTGTTCTTGAGGAGGACACTTTGGGGGTGACACCTAAGTCCTCACTGCCCCGAGGATGGACCTGCCCAGAATCGGTCCAGAAAACATCCCAGACAAGGCAGGGAGTCTTGGTCCTTAGCTTTTGGGAAACTCCGCCCCAGAATGCCCAGCAACTCCTGAGTCCGCACCATGAACCGGCCTCTTGCAGACTTTGTGGTCAGGTTCAGACCCGCTCCCTCGGCTGCCGTGGCCCCCACCCACACCACACTGCGCAGGAAGGACAGTCTGCGGGTCAGAGCTGCAAAAGCATTTATTGCGGGAAGATCATGGGGTCAGCACGTGAGCCCTGGTGGGATTTGGGGGAGCAGCTTCTCTACCCTGAGGAGGAGGGGGTCTTTGGACCCGCGGAGGTAACGCAATTTCAGGGGATGTGATCGAAGGCAGGTGGCAGGCGGAGGGTGGAGGACATTCCCAGGGGATCAGCAAGCAGGACCTGGTTCGGTGGAGACAATCCCTGTGTCAGGCTCCGCCAAACCCTCGCCCAGCAGCCGGAGCCCCGCCCCAGCCTGTGCCCTCGGCCGCCGGCAGGTGCGGCCGCCCCTCTCCATGGTGCTGAAACACGTTCGCCACCCGGCCGCCCGCGGCCCTGCCTGGGTACTCCACACACCGCTCATCGCTCATCGGCTGAGGTGGGTCTGCCTACCTTGACCCTCTTCGGGACATTTTCATATTGGCAATTCCTTGACACTTATAAGCTACTTTCTGCGCTCAACCGAATGTGCCTGTGAGCCGAGTGTGATAGGGAGGTCGCAGATTTCCACTTCTGTGAGAAGTGAGGCCCGAGAGAGTGTGGGGATGAAATGAGACGCTCCAGGTCTTTCCAAGTTTTGCAAGTGGCAGTGAGAAGGCTTGGTAAGCGCTGGACCGTCCACTGGCTAGTAGCTGGCCACATGGGGCATCTAGGACTTCAGGCACAGCTAGTCCAAACCAAAACGTGCTCTTCAAAGAAAATGCACACCGGCTCGGCTTAGTACAAAAGCAGAATGCAAACTGTTTCGTAATGATTTTATATCGATTCCACATGGACATGAGAATCTTGTGGTTCTACTGGGTAAATTGAAATATGACTGAAAATCAGACCTTCTGTTTCTTTCTTTCCTCCTAAAAATGTCTTGGCTACAAAACTCAAAATTACACGGGTGTCTCGTGCCACATTTCAATTTGGTAGCCCTGGCTTAGAGAATCCCATAACTGAGCTCTTCAGCCGAATGATGCGGATTCAGCGATGGTGCCGACCATTCAGTTTCTTATGGCCCATCATAGACTGGACCTTCTTAGTGCCTCAGTCCGCCACATGTGCCCTTGTCCTCAGGGAGCATGTGTACAGATCTCTACGAACTTATCCTTACTCCTCAAAGGACGGGGTCTCCATCCCTCATGACCCCTGGGACCAGCCCCTCAGCTTCTCTCTGAAGCCCTAGGCCCTTTCCTGTTCCTGTGTGTTTCCTCTGCTTCAAAGGCCTTTTGCCACCAAGAAACTTTCCACCACGCTTCAGTCCCCAGTTCCAATCCTGCTCCGTCTGGGACGCCCCAGGAAGTCCCCGGACATGGCTGCTGGCTCTTGCTTCTCTGCCTACCTAGACCCTCAGCCATAGCACCCCACTGACTTGTTTTAACCCTTTTTAGGCTGGTGACTCTTGAGGTCAGGTGCCCTGTGATCCTGACCCCTCAGATCAAATGTGGAACAAGATAGAATTCCTGCCTCGTGACGTCTACATTCTAATGGAGGAGAGAGAAAAGAAGCAAGAGTATTGTAAAACTCCGACAGCCACGAGTGAAGAAAAATACCCCAGGGAAGGGACTGGTGGGCGTGCTTCTTTTGAGAGACTTCAGATGGTGGCATCTGAGCACAGGATATTTGGCACAGAAGGCAAATAAAGCATGACAAATGAAATGAATAATGGCATCATTACAGAATGCCCCCCCACCACCACTCTTGTACACCTGCCTCCTCTAACTGAGCTCCCTCTACCGTCCAGCCATCTAGGCCTCCTTTCTTTGCTTCAGAAAGGAAAGCTCATTCATTCCTGCCTCGGGGCCTTTGCACATCTTCACTTTCTGCTGAGATGTTTTTCTCCTGGGTCTTGGCACAACTCCTGCCTCTCATTCAGGGCTTGTCTAAAATCCTTTTCCTCCAAGAGCCTTCAGAATGACTGTATCATTTTGATGCTTCCCTTCCTGCCACCATCCCCATTACTCATTCTCATATCTTCCTACTTTGTTTTCTGCAAAATACCTGCCACCCTCTGGAATTTAGTTGACTATATACTTATTTCCTTGCTCCTTGTTAGTATACCTGATTAGAACACAAACTTCAGGAGAGCACAGTCCTTGTCTACCTATTTGCTGTGTATCCTGAGCACCTAGAACAGTGTCTAGAATACAGTAGATGCTTAACTAAAATTTTATGAATGAATAAACGACATAATGATGAAAAGGCCCAGAGTCATCACTAAGGAATGGAAATATGCTCTGGTCTCTCACCTGATTGGTAGTATGTGGCTCCTTCACTTTGAGGGTATTTCGTTGGCCTCTTGATCATTGCTGGGCTGCACAATTTTATCTAGAATAAAAAAAACAGAACCTCATCCAGTAGAGGTGGGAGAGGATCCGAGAGGCCAGAGGAGTTTCCTCTGTCCAATGGAGCGGGCCAGGGTGGGGAACGAGCCAAAGGCGTGGAGGCGGCTTTCTGACTTTTCGGGGGGTGTTGGAGATGGAACTTGGGACCCCCCCATGCTCGGCAACCCCTCCACCAACCTGGGCAACTCTGGGAGACCTGCCTCAAAGCAGACAATTAGCTGGGTTTCAGGGGTAGCTCCGTGGTAGAGGGGTGCTCAGCATGTGCGAGGCCCTGAGTTCCATCTCGGGCACCACAAAACACAGAAAGGAAAAGGCCATTGGTGGAGTCATCCAAGACAGCCAGGGACAAGTCAGAGCTCCCCGCCCCAGCCTCTGTCCCAGCCTCTGTCTCAGCCTCTGTCTCAGCCTCTGTCTCAGCCTCTGTCCCAGCCTCTGTCTCAGCCTCTGTCTCTGCGCCCTTGGGGACCCCACTGACAACCTTGTTTTGAGGCACAATTGCTAACAGTGCCGGCCCCGTGGCTGAACAGTGTGGGTTCTCTCTGTCTCTGCCAATTTCTTCCGTGAAACTAGGGTCAAATATTTTTCTCTCTGGCTGTCTCTGTTTCCTCCTCTGTCACCCGCAGAGAGGGCTGAGCCCTACCTGACGGAGCTGCGTGGACTATCTAAGACCCCCCAAGTTCCTGGCACACAGAAAAGCACTTCCTAAGCACTTAGTTTTCACGGCCAGGCTTCCTCACTGAGTCGGTCATCTTGGATAAATTGCTCTCAACTTTCTGGGCGTCGGTTTCCTGATCAGCAGGTTGGGAACAGCCACTTCCTCCCAGATGGATCTCGGACGAGCGGTCACTCACGAGCTGATCTCGTGGAATGGGACAGTGGCGGAGGTTGGCATTCTAGGGTCTCCCCTGAGCTGGCCATCTCGCCAAAGTGGTGGCCCAGCAGAAGAGCCAGGGTGAGCTTCTGAGCCGCCCTCTCACACTCCCTTTGGGCTAGCCTGGGAACCCAAGCTGTGGCAATGCCACGTCCACCCAGGTTTTCTTCATCAGAAGTAGTGAGCTCCCTGTCAATGAGGCATGTGAGCAGAGGCCAGAAAGATTGCTTTCTGGGAAGGTCCCTTAAGGGAACTTCAGAAACCCCAGCATTAATGCTCAGCAGGACTAGTGAATATCGAGCGAATCAAGGGGAAAAAAATTTTTTTTTTGGTACCAGAGATTGAACCCAGGGGCACTTAACCACTGAACCACACCCTCAGCCCTTTGGGGCATATTTTATTAAGAGACAGAGTCTTGCTGAGTTACTTAGGGGCTTGGTAAGTTGCTGAGGCTTTGAACTTTGAGGCTCACAATCCTCCTGCCTCAGCCTCCTGAGCTGCTGGGATTACAGGTGTGCCCACGGCACCCAGCCAGGAAGAGCTCTTCCCACCTATTCATTCTATTGGTTTTCAGATTCCTGAGATTCAATCTTAAATTTGTCACTTTGGGTTTTGGCAGACATGGAAATTTTGGGTGTTTGGGGTAGAGACCACTGAAAGGAGGTAGTTTTTGTCTGAGCTGAAACCAGGCTGATTTTCTGAAATACGCAACAGTATGCATTTGGGAGGAGGGTCAAGGGGGAATCAGGCAGATCTTCTACCCCAGGGAAGTTTCCATTCATATCTCAGCTTCTTTAGGATTTTGAGACCAAAGTAGAATCAAGCATGCCCTTAGCTAGGAATGGGGTGTCAATGGCGAGTGCTTAACCCTGGCCTTGGTGCACTGGACTCCCTCAGAAAATGACAGCTGTATTTCTTAGGTTTTTGTTTGTTTGCTTTTTGGTACTGGAGGTTGAACCCAGAGGCACTTGACCCCTGAGCAAGACCTCCAGTCCTTTTTATTTTGACACAGGGTCTTGCTAAGTTTCCGAGGCTGGTCTCTAGCTTGCCATCCTCCTGCCTCAGCCTCCCCAGTTGCTGGGATTCTAGGTGTGCACTGCCATGGTTGAGTTTTTGTTATCAGGGACCATTCTTCCTTAGCAGGGAAGAGATCTTTGGCCTAGGAGAGGTGTCAAATGAGGTGAGTGAAGAGGGCGAGGAAGAAGTCTGAGTTTCTTCCTGGAGTTCTCCTGTCCCTTGCCCGCTCCAGCACTTACATATTATTTCCTTCACCACCTCCGGACTCAGGCCAGACAGGGCTCTGTCAATCACAGGACACATCTGAAAGGCAAGGTCGTGGGCTCGAGTCGGGTGGGGGCTCTGCCAAAGCAGCCCGAACAGGGCCCTCAAGGAAAGGCTTCCTAAGCCAACCCACTGAGGGGACCCACAGCTAGGAGGGCTGGGGGGACAGACTGCAACGGGGTCCCATGTCAGCTCAGCTATTTGACAACTGCATGACTTGGGTAAGTCATGGACCTTTTCTGGAACTTTCCTTAAATTTTAAAATGGAGATAATAACATGACCTAGAGTATGAGATAAGAAGATTCATGGAAGACGCTTAGCACAGTGAGTGAATGAGCATCGGGTGTTCATTGATGATTGTTTATACTTTTGTACAGATAAGGACACTGAGTCTTGGGGAACCTCATCAACTCACCTCTGGTCACACAGATGCTGATTATTATTATTATTATTATTATTAGGTACTGGGGATCGAACTCAGGGGCACTCGACCACTGAGCCCCATCCCAGCCCTGTTTTGTATCTTATTTAGAGA